AGTGTTAGTGTTAGTGGCTAGGCTAACACTAACATTAGCTAACTAGCTGACAAGCCAACTAGTTTAACCTATAGAGTCTATGGTTTAATCTCACTTCATAGTGAGTGCGAGAGTGTCAACGAACAAGAACAACAGAAATAGCGTTACTGACAGCTCTTTATTGTCTTTGTTTTTAGATTTCTCTTCAATATTTGGAAACAATGACACCAGTAATTGCCATATGTTGTTGTTTACAGTGAGTTAACGTCAGTGAAAAGGACAAGGCTGACTTCGGCTTCCTATTCGCCAGATTCTTGTTCGAATTTTCCCGTTTCAAGGCGCCAGAATGTAACTGCTGCAGCATTTAAGGTGGAACAGAAAAATTCAAAGGAGAAGCTGATTTCAACTTTGTATGAAAAGCTCATCATAACACAGTTTTATATCCCTCAATTCCTCAACCTGTAGCTAGAAATTAAGGGGCAGCAGCTCCTTCGAAGGCCAATCAGATGAAAAGAGTTTTACCGGTTCAAACAAAAAAAATTAAAGAGATTGATCATTACTTCCTTGAGTTCTTGTAAATCTGAGCTTAATAAAATGAATGTAGTACTAAACACAGGAAGAGAGGGAGAGAGAGAAGCTGAAGGAGGTTGACAGGACTGAAGGAGCAGATCTGATGGAGGTTAATGATCAAAAATTAATAAGGAATTTAATTTAATTTAACTGATATAGTACTTGTCACCATAACCATGAAATTCTGTCACCTAGCTTATTAAACATGCCTACAGAGCAAAATCACGCTTTTTCTGATTGTACCAACTGAGGCTGAACTCATCTATAATCAGCGTTTTTGAAAAATACATTTAGGTCTTTGCAGCTTTTCTAAGAGAGAGGAGATAACACTGTTTGACTTCAGTGCCTTTCTGTGATCTGTACCGGTTGTCAATGAATGGATATTGTTTTTGTTATATTAGCTCTGTGCTTAATACAAACTAAGAAGAGACAGTTTGACCACATAACCATTTTTGATATATTTAACATGGCTGATGTACTTGAAATTTTCTGGCTGTTTCTACTCTTAGAGCGCATTATAAAAAACAATTTGGGGCCATTAAAAAAATTCCTCTTTGGGGACCAAGCCCCCAGACCCCCCTAGTACAGGCTTAGCCGCCCTATCCATGAACCTCTAGTGAAACCCCTATCATCACCTACAAGTACAAACTCAAAACACATTAGTCAATGCTGTCTTTGAGTTTTAAAGCACAATCTGGCCATTTGGAATCTTTTTAATCAAAAATATTTAAAAAATGTGATCAGTCTACAAATGCAAGCATGGATACAAAATGTATGTAAGACATTCCTTTGAGAGGTGAGGCATAGTTCCTTGGTGCAAGTATTTAGGAATGCTTATATAACAACAAATTTGATGTTAAAAACAAAACAAAAGCACTATATCAAATTTATACGATGCTATGCATTATTTGAAATGAACCTCTTTTGCCCTTTTTCCCTTGTTTGACACAAACAGTCAATCACCAGTTAATGAATTACTTAAATCGGACATAAGATAAACAACTAAAACAGGAGACCCTTGTTTTAGACTCTGTCATCTGCCAAAACATTACTAATGCGCAAAGTATCAAAAAGCATTACTGCAGTTTTGTACTTGTTTGCCTGCCCTTATGCAACGCGCCTAATTATCCAATAAAATCAAGTTTGATCCAGCAGAGAAAAGACACAATTCTGTAGCACCACGAACCTCTAGTTTAGCAACTTCAGAGCTGGTTGCCAGTGAAACTCCAGGGTGAACACCAGTCGGCAATAAAAGTGCCGGGTGAAGTGAGTGTTGGAGTGTCGGAAACTACCATCATAAGAACCACCACTTCGACCTGTCACCCCACATGCAGAGATCCAGCTCCCAAAGGCTTATACTGCCTGCTGCTACCCAAGCATGTAGTGGGCTATAAACCCCTGATGCCAGTGTTGTGCCAAGACCTTGCACCCCAGAAATGAGGGGGGAGTACAATTTTGCCAGGCGTCAAAACAGCATTTTCAAGTATATCTGACTCCCTTATTTTCTGGTGTTTTGCTACAAGGTCACTAGGTTCTCTCACAATCAAAACTCCAAAATGTAACCTACCCATACCAAGCTCAACTATTGGGCACTGCCTGATATACCTGGCTCTCAACATCCAATGGGCTCCCTTATAGCTGAAAACTACTGAGCAATGCCACCTCTGATTAGAACCACACTCCTTCTGCATGGTCAGCCCAGAGTGTGCAAGTGTGCGATCAAGGCATGAGTAAATTAGTGAGTCAATGTGTATTATTGTCAATCCAGAGAAAGCTCTGGATTATGGGTTGTGGATTATACAAACCCAATTCCATAAATTGGGACAGGGATGAAATAGGGGTTGCACGACTTCAGGTTTTTGACAGTTATGTGATGAAAGTCGAGTTGATGCTGACTAATCCGTGATGACGCCATGAAACCACGGAAGAAGGGAATGCTTTGGAAGAAGCCACTTTATAAATCCATGATGAACAATAGGTCAGTAGATTGTGACGTGCCCTTTCCAACGAGCCCTGGATCGCATTGCCAGCCTTCAAGGAAGCAGAGATATAGACCCCAGAATCTTGCAAATTTGTATCCAACTTAGGTGCACTTTAGGCGGCCTTGCTGAGACGCTTTCCCACAGTGGAGGTCTGGAGAGCCAGAGAAATTTATGATTATACCCAAGATTACATCACTTCTTCTAAAATGTCTTTTGAACATTTAGCAATGTTCCTAGTCTTAAATTGCCCTGTCCCAGCTTTTTTGGAATGCATTGTAACAATAATAACAACAATCATTTTTATTTATATAGCACTTTTAATGCCAGTGGCAGCTCAAAGTGCTTTACAGACAGGTGATAAAACATAGTTGTACAAGAAATCATTAGTATTTATTTAAAATCAGAAGAAAATGAAAAAGATCAGATTAAAAGATAAAAACCACGAGATGTACAGTTTTAATTAAATGCTAAGTTAAAGAGACACGTTTTTAGATGCTTCTTAAAAGTGAGCACTGAACTTGACTGTCTAATAAAAGGTGAATTGAGTTCCACAGTTTAGAAGCATAATAACTGAAAGAGGCCTCTCCATGTTTTCTGTATTTTACAGAGGGTATTTGTAGAAGGCCACTATCTGCAGATCTTAGATTACGTGCCGGAACATAAACCAACAGACATTCTGTGATGTAAGCAGGTTCTATAAGGTCATTTTGAGCTTTAAAAACTAGTAGCAGAACTTTAAAATCTATCCTGAATAATCCAGGTAGCCAGTGCAGTTCTTTTAAAACAGGAGTGATGTGATCTCTCTGTTTTCTTTTTGTTAGGATGTGCGCTGCTGCATTTTGTACGAGTTGTAAGGGATGTATAGTTTTCTTAGGAAGTCCAGTAAGAAGAGCATTACAGTATTCAAGTCTGCTTGTAACAAATGCATGAACAAGTTTCTCTGCATCGCTCTGAGAGAGAAAAGGCCGAACTTTAGTGATATTTCTCAAATGATAAAAAGCTACTTTAGTGACCGTGTTTACGTGTGGGGTAAAACAGAACTCAGAGTCTAAGATCACACTCGTTTCGTACTTCACGTTTGGTATATGAAGCTAAAGAACCAAGATTCTCATAAATCATTTTTCTCTGACTTTCTGTACCTACGATCAATATTTCAGTTTTTTCGTAACAAATTTTGTGACATCCACTGAGAAATATCTGACACACAGCTGGTTAGTCTGTCTACAGAGTCTTCATCTTCAGAAGGAATAGAAATGTATAGCTGGGTGTCGTCAGCATAGCTATGAAAATTTATACTATGCTTCCTAATGACATCGCCTAGAGGTAGCATGTACAAAGAGAAAAGCAAAGGTCCTAAGACTGGACCTTGAGGGCAAATCTTTTTGATGAATGATTTCCAAGTGAAACCATGAACTGCCTATTTTTTAAATATGATTTAAAACATTCTAAAACTGTGCCCGAGAGTACGACCCAGCATTCAAGACGCTGGATTAAAATCTTGTGGTCAACAGTATCAAAAGCTGCGCTAAGATCTAATAAAACCAAAATAGAAACAATTTTGTGCATCAGCGCTGAGCCTGAGGTCATTCATAATGCAAATCAATGTGTCTCTGTACTATGGTTACTTTTTATAAATTGTTTGATATTAGATACGCATATAGTTGTTTGAAAACAACTTTTTCTAAGACTTTACTTAAAAAAAACATCTTAAGGAATGAAGTAGGAACAGGGTCAAGATCACATGTGGACAGCATCAAGTTAAGCGTGTATTTACAAAAACAGTAAAGTTGCTAAAATAAAACCATAAATTTCTTGTCTTTGTGCTGCTTTTGTTTAAATACAAGTCAAAGTGTATTATTAAATCCGATCTTTGTGTTTTGATTTGCATTTCACATATGATCCCTACTGTACAAAGTTGAACTCCGTTGTAATAGACTGAGAAAAAAATTCAGCCGGCTCACCACTCAGTTGTAATTATGTTTTGTATTGTAATAAGACATTTTCTTCATGTATGTGGAAAAGGTGACCTTCTGTAATTTTAAAGTATAAAATATCACCTTTTCCACACACATGACAAAAACATCTTTTTACATTAAAGCACAAAGACACTTTACTGACCTGAGTCCAATTTTGCAACAGCATCTTAGCTTTAAGTTCATCTTAACTAGTAGAGAGTGTTCAGTGTGACGCTCGCCGCACCATTTAAGAATCACCTTTTTGCTAAGATGCTTTTGGGAAACCTAGGCCTTTGTTAAGGCAGTGACTTCCAGTGAGCTCAAACTTACAGAGAATCGTTTGGCACATCTGTTTTTTGTTTTTGTTGTTGTTGCTGTTTTCGTTTTGCTTTGTTTTTTTTCTTTTTACCTGCCCTGTCTCAACATGTTTGGAGAGCAGTGTACGTCTTGCATTAGCTTGTGATGGTCAAGTATCCTTATTTTGTTTATCAAACCAACTGATTTCATTCTCCAGAGTGTGATTTGTCAGTCAGCAGAAGACCTGAGCTGTATGAAGATGACCGTGTCTTTGGTCAGTGTGCTGTTCCTGATGACCATTTCTTTCTGTATAAGGAAGGTAGGTGACATTAAATTTCCACAATGACTAAATCACATCTCTAACACATCAAGAAAACTGGTAAAAGTTACAGCAGGCTGCTATGTTATTAGTTTGCTAATTCATAAGGACTAGACCATTCCTACACTTCCATATTCATTAATGCAGAAGCTTAAGTAGTAGTGTTAAACAGCTTCCAGTGTGTTGTAAACAATGGCTGAGACTACTGCCTGGAATAAATGCTGTGTTCCCAAATTCACCACTAATTCAACCAAACAGCCTTGACTGAGTTTCCACTCAGTGAAGTTTAAAGATGTTCAACTTCAGCTGAAAAGTTCTGCTCCTAATGTGTCACTTTTAATGAGGTAACCAATCAAAAAAGAGAGTTGGTAAAACTGAACCGGAGAGCCAATGCAGGACTGTATAATAGGACAGATTTGCTCACATTTGTGATTAAAAATGCTGAGTTCAAAGATTATTCACTACCATTCTGGATGACACAGTTACAGAATGAAAGCTTTATTGCAACTATAACAGCCACAACAACTCATTTGGACTAAGCTGCAATAAACTGTCATTTTATAATAACAATAATAATAAAAATAATAATGTCTATAATATAGACATTACATAGAAAATTTCTGACACAATTCTGACATTTTTCAGCAATTAGTGTGTCCACACTTTATCTTTATTACAGCTACCAGACTTGCTTTCAGTTTGTCAAAGAAATCTGCAGGAAATTTTTTCTACACCTCCGAAGTTCAGTCTTAAAAGTTGGTGCATTTTCTGCTTCTCACAATCCATATATTTCCAATTACAAATTTAGACTCATATGTCTATAAAATCTTACCACATGTCAGATGTTCAGTTTTGATATTCTAGTGCAAATTTCTTGGCAGCTACACATCCTTTCAGACTCATAGTGTTGAGTTGTCTTCTCACAGTGGAAGGATGGACATAAACACCTGTGGATTTTTTCAGATCTAAAGCAAAAGCATAGCTTAATTATCTCCTCTCTCTCAGATTTGAAAGCATTAAGTATGTTGATCTGATAATGACAGTTATGGTGGTCTATGAGGTCTTGCCATTTTCTTCTAAATTTTTTAATCATGTTTTCCAGTTTTTTCACTTATTTTGCTTTGATCTTCTCCTTCATTGCCAGAGGATTATTTTCTATGTAGTATTTTCAGAAATGGCTCCTTAATAATGAATAACTCGTACTCAATGTTAATTTTGAGTGGAAATTAAATAAATGAAGGGTGGTCTTTGATGTTTGAACAGTCCTTTGGGTTAATTTAGACTAAACTGGACTTACTGATGGCTTCTCCTTTAACAATCGTAATGTGAGCCATTGTATGTCTTTTCTCCTACAGAGCAGTGGTCAGGTTTGGCCCCTGGACATGGCTGAAAACTCTGTGGATGACTCTTATGGAGGCTGCAGGGATGACATGAATAAATTAGTGATCTCAGAGTACATTGAATATGAAAGAAAGAACACTCCTGGTTTTGCAGCTGCCTGGGAAAATGCACTTAATAAGCGCAAAATACTCAGTATACTCAGTATAAACCAGTCTGCTGCCATATACATGTATACAGCGGAACCTCAATGTAGGAAAGATTGCTCATATGTCGAATTTAACAAAGCTACTCGAAATGGATCAGCAGCCTATCAGTCAGGTGACTTTCAGTTTTACACGCTGCATTTCTTTCTGACTGATGCTGTTCAACAACTCAAAAAAGAACAAACAGGGTGTGTGACCTCATATCGCAGAACAAGGGTTAAATTTGAAACAGACGTTCTTAATAAAAAAATTCGATTTGGGTCTTTCACTTCCAGCTCTTTGAACAAGGATTTAACACAATTTGGTAGAGAGTCCTGTTTTCAAATTTACACTTGTTTTGGAGCTGCAATAGAAAGTTTCTCAGAGTTCCCAAGTGAGAAAGAGGTGTTAATTCCTCCATACGAGACCTTTCTCATCACAGCCATTAAAGAAATAGACAAGGAGAGAGATCTGTGGTGTAATGTAGTCTATGAACTCAAAAGTGCTGGTAAGAGGAGTGATCTTCAGTGCATAAAAATCAAACTATCAGCATTTGACATATCCATTTTTGTAATTTTTTCGTTGGTTGGTCCGTGTCTTCTGTTATGTTTACTGTGCCGTGCTATTTCTCTGTTGCGTAACATATGTATGTAAATATGAGCAAACCTGTCATAGTAGCTCTCAGAGAAAGGAATTCACAGTATTTAAATTTCCTGTTCATTGATCAGTTCT